TGTCGCTGATCTCTGGTCCACATGTCACATATGTATTGGTTGTTCTTTTTTTTTTTTGTTAATAAAACTTTGTTATAAATTAGATTTTTTATTCAAAAATAAAATAAAAGAAAATACAGCCAAAATTTTAAATTTTATTTTAATTTACTTTATTGGTTAAATAATTAATAAGTAAATAAAAAAATTAATTAATTAAAAAAGAACTGATGAGGGTAAAATAGTCTTTTTGTGATTGATAGGGACCAAAGACGCAACAAAAACATACTTTAAAGATTGTCTGAGTTAAATAAAAAAAAGTTAAGCACCAAACATGCAAATTACCCCCAAACCACATGGACCATTCGTGTAATTTACCCTATTTCTTATAATCTTACAAGCAAAAAGTAATAATACCGATAAAAAAACTATCTTTTGTAAACCAAAATAAGTTTTTCTATATTTATTATAGCCTTAAAAATAATAAAAATTGATTATAAATAATATAAACTAACAGATAAAAAAAATTATCTTCTTTAAACCAAAATAAGTTTTTCTATATTTATTATAGCCTTAAAAATAATAAAAATTGATTATAAATAATATAAACTAACAAAAATAAAATGTTTGGGTTATTATGGAGAAGAGAGAAACTTTAGTCTAAAAGTGATAACATGGACAAACAGAGTTCTCCCCTAAACTTATGGCTATGGATGTGTCATCTACTTGGCAATTTTTTAATCACATCACGTCCACGTGGTGCTGACATGGCATCCACACGGTCATTTTTTATTTAATTTTAATTTTTTAAAATAGATAACATAGTTTACCTCTGCCACATTGTGCCCATGACGCCGTTTATCAACAATTGCTAACGGCGCATCGGATAATTTTTTAGCAAAAGCTCGAGCTCTAGCGACCCCACCAACATCCGGGGAGACCACCACCAAATCATCAGCACAAATACTCTTGCTGGCAAGGTAATCAAGTATCACCGGCTACTCATCAACATTCAACAATAAACAAATTAGCAGAAAATATAGATATTAAATGTTTAAAGAAAACACAAATTACATAAAACTATAAACGCCACTATATTTTACCTGACCATGTACATGGTCAACTGGAATATCAAAATAGCCTATAGATTGACCAGAATGAAGATCACAAGCAAGAACACGGTCAGCCCCAGCTTCTGTTATAAGATTCGCAACAAGTTTAGCCGCGATTGACTCCCGCCCTTGAGTCTGAAAATAAATACAGAAAGAAGTAAATTACAACTTTAGCCCCAAAATCATTTTGATTTTGGGGACCAAAATTACAAAAATCAGCTATATTCAGGGACCAAAAATAGTCATAGTACGAACAGAAAAAAATTGCATTTTTGGTTGATTTCCTTCAATTTTGATCCCAATAAGTTCACTTGTAAATGTAACTATTGTCCTTCTTTGTGGTAACATGTTTGCTCCATGTTCCAAGTAAAAATGACTACTTTTGGTCCCTAGAATATGGTTGATTTTTGCAATTTTGGTCCCAAAAAATAGACATACTACTTTTTGGGACCAAAAACATCAAATAAGGACCAAAATTGCAAGAGAAAACTTTTTGGGACCAAAATTACAAAAATCAACTATACTCTATATAAAGTTCATAACGATTGTCTAATATCTGCAAATGTGATTGTACTTTTTATGTTAATAATGTGTACCTTACGATCAGCTCTTGCGTATCCAAAATACGGGATGACAGCTGTAACAGTTTTTGCAGATGCCCTGCGACATGCATCAATCATGACTAAAAGCTCCATGAGATTTTCATTGGCAGGGGGACAAGTTGGTTGGACAAGAAACACGTCGCATCCTCGGACACTTTCACGTAACTGAACGTATATTTCGCCGTCTGCAAACCGTGTTATTTTGATGTCTCCTAGGTCTAGACCCATGTAGGCTGCAATTTCCTGTCATAAAAATTAATAAATATTATATTTGAAGATTAAACGAAATTAAAATTAAGAAGAAAAAAAGACAAAGTGTATGTACTTCAGAAAGTGCGGGATTTGCAGTTCCTGAAAATACTCGAAGTCGGGTTTCTTCTTTTTTGATTGGCTCTCTTTGGAATTCGTATGGAATGAAGAGTTTAGGGAAAGTTTGTTGGTTTTGGTTGGTTGTTAGGGTTTGTTGTACACCATGCTTCCCGTTTCCTTCAAATTTCAAACTGCATTTCTGAATTCAATACAATAAACTTATGTGATTAATTCATATGTAGCTTTATTGTTTATAACTTTATATACATAATTAGTAATGTATTTCTAATGATTTGAAAGTATCATTGAAGGGGTGTTGATTTGAAAATAATTATGTGATGTGAAACAACAGAATTAAATAATCAGTTGTGGTAGAACAAGCTACTAAAGATAGTGTTTGGATCTGTATAAAGTTGTAATAATCAAATAATTGGGTAATGGTTAGATGAAGGATCAATAGATAAAATGACCAGAAAGGACATTCTTATATATTGTTAAATTATTCGAATTAAAGTATTAAACGAACAAAAGATCTTATTCATGTTTGCTAATTATACTTGACTTTAACTACCAAAAAGCCGTGGTACATATAAAAACTACAACAAACATTATAGTACTTTGAAAACGTGGACAATTTTGGCCCAAATCTAATCTCAATTAAATTATTCAACCAAAGTAACTAATATGAAACTTTTTTATGCATTGTGCATTTGTGCTTATCACTTGGTTTCTCAAAATAACCACTGCACTTGCAAAAGTCCTAGAAAACATTGTCCTTGAAAATTAGTAACATTTTTGCCAAAAACAATTGAAAAATTCCACTCTGTCCCAACTTCTAATGCTGAAATTTTTAATCAAATTTAATTGAATAAGTGAATAACACAAGTAACTAATATGCAACTTTCATATGGCATCATATTTGACACTTGGCTTCAAAATAACCATACCACTTGCAAAGTCCTGAAAGAAATTGTCCTTGAAAAAGTACAAACGTTTTTGCCTAATCCTTTCAAAATTGTCTACTTTGCCCTTTTACTTCTTCTGCTGAATTTATTATCACAATTAATCCAATGTTATGGTTACAAGAAAATAAGTTATACTAATTTAGTAATAAATTTCTGTTTATTTAATTAATGTTAAAGATGTTTGTTACTAATCAAACATTTTTATTAACATATGTATCAAATCTTTAAGAAGGTACAAAAATAAAGATAATGTTGAAACTTGAAAGACAATAAATATTAAATACGTTAAGAAAATCAACGCACGTCTTATTCAAAGTATTTGTCATGACAAGAATATATAGAGAAAAATCAACACTAACGTGTAGCTTTTGTTTTGAGAAAAACAATTGTACATTTAGTTCTATCAATTTTGTGATTTGATTGTCGACTTTAGATGGATTGTTCACTAAATAAACAAGCTATGAACCTCACTAAATACTGTCTATCATTTAATTTCAGAAAACCAGTAATTCAAATTACTTGTTTTCAATCCTTTTCAACATATCTGTTCCTTCACAACTCACAACCTAATTTCATTTTCATTCTTTCTAATGTTTGCAACCTATTTTAATGAAATTAGTTGATAACTGGTACATTATGCAAAATACATATTGAATTGCCAATAAATAAAATAACTTATGTACAAATCAATACAATTGATTTGTTGTAAACATAAGATTGGTGCAACTTTGATTAACAAATTAGGCACAAAAATATATGGGAAAAAACATTCACAATTTTACTGTACTATGTTTTTTGGACTTATCCAAGTACTATGGTCCTTTTCAAACTGGTGTCAAGTACAATGGTTATAAAAGTTGCACATGAACTACATGGATTTAGTAATTTCAGTGAAGCTGAAAGATTGGGGAAATTTTGTTCATGTTCTCCAAATCTGAGATCCATCCAAAATTTCCACTTACCATTTACAAGCTAAAAAGTGAACACTTTCATATTCATACAATCAAATGTCATTATCAATCAATTAATAAATATGTGCATTACAGCCATTCTTTCAAAGCAACTACAAATTTAGATTGACCCTAAATGAATGCCTTCATTTCTTCTATCTAGTTTAGAGTCTTTGAATAAAAATTCAAGGAACATAAACTGAAATCACAAAAAATAATCACTTATTTAACAAATAAACTTCGTCGCCTAACATAAACAAAGAACGCATATACGGAAACAGAACCAGAACCATTTTTATTAGCAATTTGTACACGAATTTGCGGACATACTAGAGGAGCGGGGGCATGCATATTAACATATATTGAAACTACTCAAACGCAACAATCAATCTTAAAATCAAAAGCTAAGAGCAATCAGAAAACAAACTTGAACCTATAAGACCACTTACGACGACATGCATGTGTATTAGAGGGAAATTTTGAAAAATACAATTGAGAATCGAAACTCACAACTGAGGCATTTCTCGCAGGGATAGCATATCGAAATTTGTAGGCAGCTGCGAGATGTCCAGAAGAAAATGCAAGAGAAGCCATTTGCCAATCGTAAGAAAATCACAGAACGAACACTCTGTGAGTATCAGCGAGAGGAGAGGACCGGTTTAGGGTTTCGCCATCTTTTCATTCCTAGGAACGGTGTTTTGCTCTATAAAAACTATCCGGTAGATATTGTGTCAATTCGTAAAAAGAAAACCACACAATGCCTAAATTGTAATAAATCAACTATTTCCCAATTTTATTGGAAATTTTCATTCTAGTGAAATCCCTACTCTCAAGTCTCAACCGATTAATGCTAATGGGAACATCCTAGGATTATGGACTCTAAACTAGTTAATCGACATCGACTTCATGTAAAATTTGTAACATAACTAATTTTGTAAAATTAAAATAATCAATAGCATGAGAGCCTATAATCTTATTGCTAAAAGCCTAAAACTGATGCATATCCATCTCTAGTTTCCCTTGTTCCGGTTAGCTTTTTCTTTACTTTTATTCTTTTCCTTCAAAGTATGTGGTATACTTCGTTGGCTAGACATCGGTGTCTAGCATGACTAGCAGTGCCCATCGAGAACACTGCGCCGCCCTAGGCGGCACCCACAAATCACACCCCATCACAACTGAGAGGAGCAAATGGATCGGTTGGACTGAATCGGAACTAGCACCTGACCAGATTGATCATACATTAAATGGGATTCCATCAAATAGCTTAATATACTTCTCAATTCTAGCGGTTCTAGTTCCATCGAACCGGATCGGAACGAAGCCAAAATGACTTAATGGAGTGAAAATGGGTCAATGGGGCCGAAAAACGTCTTTGGAACTAAAACCGGCACTGGCACCAGAATCGATTTAGTCTGTAGCGGTCCAATTCCCAGTTATTTATTTCGGCTCAATCGGTTTTCGGGTCTTTTAGTCCGGGCAAATTCTAGAATAGTTCTCATGTCTAGCTAAGACAATGCATTCGTTTTCCTCTTTTTCTAACTTCCAACGGTTATACAGTTAAAAAAAAAAAACTTTTGTTTGGGCAGATTCTTGCTATCTTGTAGTTTTGTTTTATTAAATAATATTTTGAATTTTTGAACATTAAACAAATATTCTAAATAAAATAAATTATTAATCAATTAAGGCATCTTTAGGTTCAAAGAAGTACCGTAGTTAACATGCATAAGAATATTTGATATTTATTAAAGATATTTAAAATGAAAAAGTATATTTAAAAGAATGTTGCATGCCGAAAGCAATATCACACACTTTATTGTAACAATAATTAGGAATATATATTATTTATTCTATAATGGAAAAATGTTAATTTTTTAAGGACAGACAAAAAGAATAAAGAAGGGTGGTCATTGCCGTTTTCACCCCTATTGTTTCATCTATACAGGTTAGAACCTAAAATCCTTGTGAAACCATTTTAACACATTTTCCTTTTCAGAAACAAGATCCTAAGGTGGGTCAAAGTGTCAAACCTGAAACCACTCAACTTTTAGTTGGCATGTTTGAAGTTTATGTTTTTTACTTTTTTGTGTAAAAACGCTAATGGTGTGTTTGGCCTTTAAAGGTCACATTATATTCACAGAAATGGAGATAAATGGCGAAAAAAATAGTCTTAAAGAATTAAAATCTAAAGATTTACAATATTACCATCGTAATGTAAATATTTGATACCTTTGCAAAATATATAAAATTAAGATAAAGTTCAACAGGCAGTGTTATTGCTATAAAAATCTCTCTCCAAAATCGCAAAAAGATTAATGTCATATTTTGTCCATCAATTTATTTTTAAGTCCTAAAAGACTTACTTGAGCTCAATAAGTGTGAAAAAAAAACAAACAAAAAACAATAAAAACAATAAAAAAAATCGATTCATTTTGAAGATCAATAGTTTGGTTTTTGGCTCTTAGATAAACTGAGTTTTAAGCTTTGATTTATTTGTTATATATATAAACTGAAATAAAACAAAGCCAACCCCAAATGAAATAATCAAATGACATAAATTTATATGTAATCTTTATTAATTAAGTATATCTTTAATGATTAACCTCACAAAGATTTATTATTTTCTCGCATCATCTATACACTCACTTTTATTTAATAAAAAGCTTTTAGGAGATATATATTCTTCAATACTTAACCTTTTTTTTTAAAAAAAATCAATTTAACTAATTTATCAGTTATCTATGTTATATGTTTTATTAAGCCTCTCATATAATTTATAATTTATCATTGTCGGATATTTTTTCCGAAATTATAAAGATTATAAAACTAAAAAACGATAAAATCTTATGTAACCAAAATGTGTTATATAATAATTGATATTTTTAAATTTTTACAACTACTTTAAAAATATATAAATTTTTTGATAAAGTATATTCATTTTTATTTATTTATTAAATCAATTGATTAACTAAAAAATATAACATCTAAATATTATTATGATATAAAATATAGTATTAACTAATGCAAGAAAATTAAAATGTTAGTGGATAATAAATGTTTGTAACGCAAAAGTTTACGAAAAAAAAAATCTACAATGATAAAAAGCTTTTCAAATGCGTTTTCAAATAGAAAATAACTTTTGAAAAAACTACCATTAAAAATTAAAAATGCTCTAAGAATGTTAAAATTAAAATAACTAACACGTATTTACAGTTTCATTTTAAAACTAAAACAATAAGCATTCATTTACATCTATGTCTTGCATTATTTTTTTATAAATTACTAGCACTTACATTACACCCTACGATAATTAAATAAAGCAGCTGACCAAAGGTTTGACTTGTTTCCACCTCATGTATCATGTTGAAAATGTGTCTAACCCAATAGGTTTAGGAGATGTTACTTCTACTTTCAAACAAATTAAACAACCAATTCCTTGTTTTATGACTATGTGGCATCCACATTGGCAATCATCATTCATCATCATAATAACAAAACAATTAACAATGGCATTTATCTTCATGCAAACCATCAACAAATTTATTGTCATTCTCATCGGCAAAACATCGATGCCAAAATTTTGGGATAATCATCACCCATAACCTAAAATAAAAACAAAACCCCAAATTATCACCAAAACACACAATTTTACAAACAAAAAGCCGCACCCAAATGATTTTACATGTAACCTTTCTACAATAATCTCATTATTATAAGTATAACAACTCAAGATGAATATATAGGAACGGGCAGAAACGGGAAAGGGGCAACCGATGCATATGCGACCGGTGGACGTGACCGGGTCTGTTTTACCCTTTCGGGATTTCTGGTTTCCTGCTCGGTATGTGAAATGACCATTTTGTCCTTGGTGTTTTCTGTGGTTAGTGGTTGATCATCGTAAATTCGGTGAAACATAAGGCCAGACATGAAAACCGGAAGATAAAGAAGACTTGCATGGAACATTCTTCTTGCACTTGTTTTTGTCCGGTTCAATAGAAATGAAACTGCGGTCCCACTAATTGCTAGAGCCAGGAGGGTTGATTCAAGACAGAACCATCCGGAAGTTATACCCCCTGCAAAATGACCATTTTACCCTTGGTATACAAGAACGAGCTAAAGTAAAGTGTATATTAGACACACATTTCCATTGTAATGTCGCAGGTTTATGTTAAGTGCTTAAAATCTAAAAAAAAAATTAAGAGTAAATTATTTTTGTAGTCCTTGAGGTATTGCCGACTTTTGCAATTTTGGTCCAAAAAAAGTTCTCTCTTGCAATTTTGGTCCTTATTTGAGGTTTTTGTATTGTTTTTGGTCCCTACTGCAAGTAATATAACTATATTTTTGGGACCTAATGTGCAAATATCAACTATACAAAAGGACCAAAAAGTATTCATAAACATTTACTTGGAACATGGACCAGAATGTTACAAAAACCTCAACTATGGACCAAAATTGCAAGAGAAACTTATTGGGACCAAAATTAGGAAAATCAACTATACTCAGGGACCAAAGTTGCAAAAATCAGCTATACTCAGGGACAAAGTTGCAAAAAATAACTATACTTAGGGACCAAGTTGCAAAAATCAACTACACTTGGGGACCAAAATTATTGCAAAAATCATCTATATTCAGGGACTGAAAATATAAATCAATCTTAAATTAGTAATATTTCATCTTTCATAGAGAACTTACAATCATAAGCCAAGTATCCCAACGGAATCAGATATATGCAATTCCTCAAAGCCACCAAAGCTGTTCTTTTACCCGATGGATCAGCAAGAGAGAACATTTTAAACCTGAATATTTAAAAGAAATTAATTTCAAAATTCAAATCCATTACTTAAAGATAACAAAAAAAAAAAAAAAATTATAACATACCCTCCAGCTTTATAGTCATCACGGCATAAATAAGCAAGGGCCATAAAATGTGGTATTTGCCAAAAATACAAAGCTGCAGGAAGAATCAATCCATTCATTGTAATCTCACCAGAAGCTGCAGCCCACCTTTAAACCAAAAGAGAAAGAATTAAAAAATAAGTACTTCAATCTTTTTTGTTATTAAATCATTGTAATTTGAAAGTAGAATGTTATAATAGGAAGAAATGAAAGTACATTGCTATAAAAAAATTACCCAAGAAGAGGGGGAATTGCACCAACAACAGCTCCAACCCAAGTATTGACAGGATGTATTTGCTTCAATGGGGTGTAAACGAATGCATAGAGAAAGAGATTTGAAGCTCCAAGTCCAGCTGCCAATAAATTAGCCTGCACAAACCTTGCAGTAAATTTTTTTATTTTAGTATATATATAATATAATTTTTTGTTAATTTATAAAATGAAAATTAATTTCCAACCTGGCTTGCTAATAGAGCTGTGCCAGCTAGACCAATTGACGTTGCCCATGTGACTGCGTGAGGAATAGTAAGACGGCCTGAAGGTAATGGCCTTCTCATTGTTCTATTCATTAATGCATCGTTTTTAACCTCAAATACCTAATACACAAATACAAGGTTTGATAAGAATAAGGACACAAACATAAATCATTAAATCTTATCTATAACAGATTGGTTGCCAACATTAAAAAAAAAAAAAAATGATGTTTGGGGCTCTAATGAACAGAATTGGAACTTTGGTGACTGAATAAGCGAATTTCAAAATAGTTTGTTGCCATTATGTCATTAACCCATATTTAAAAGTGAAACTACAAAAGAACAATATGACAAACATGTCTAAAAACCTGATTTAATGTGTTAGCAGATGCTGCCACCATCATGGTTCCTGCACACGTGTAACAAAGTCCTGCTAAGTCAACTGCACTCCCGCTTCCAAGAACATAACCGGCTCCAGATGTAGCAACAACCAGCATGCTAAAAATATATAATGCAGAAATCAGATAAGATATATAACATATATTAATAACTGGAAAGGAAAGAGTATGCATAGATAAATATCTATTATAACCACTAAAAAGTTAAACTCTAAGAAAAAACATATGCAAATAGGTCATAAACTCTTTTGTTATGTTCAATACTTCCACTTTTGTTTTGTTTATTTTCTATCATTCTTTTTGGTCTGATGAAAGATATTTATTTGTTCAAGCTTCATCTTCACAGTGGCTTCTAAAGATCTCTAACTTTCCAATATTAATATCGTTGATGTCACTCCCATATGTCATTCAGTCTCAACCATTATTAATAGCTGCAAATGACATGACATTCATCCGTGGAAGACTTCTAATTTTTCATAGAAACAAAACTAAAGTTCTAATTCTTAGACTATGATAGGAATAATGTTCACATGCTTATCATCACGAGCAAATCAATAGAACCACCATAACTGGACCAAAAAAATCAAATCACGCACCTAGAAAACATACAATTCGCAGCACCTATATACAAGTTCATACTAATACAAGGAATTAATCACTTTTGTAACAGTAGTCATATTGACCCTATTAATCATAAGAATTACGAATCACGAATCTAGTGAACATCAAGTTAATCATATTGATAAGGTGCGTTGCAGAAATACCAAAAAGAAAAGGAATTATAACTAACCTAAGCTTAGCTTTGGAAAGCTCCCAATAGCACCGACCATAATGTCTTGCCATATCAACAACCTCCCTTGCCCCTAACGTTGTCGCATCGACGATTTCAGCAGTCGACCCCATCGCCCGGACCCGATCGAGTCCCGCAATACCTAGTTTCCCTGAACCGGAAGATGGGCCCACGGCGGTGGAGGTGGATCTACTGAATAATCCATACCCGTGGTCAACGTCGGAGATTTGCAACAGGCGAAGACAATTTGGTTGAAGGTTTAGATGGCAATTGAACTTGGACGAGGAGGAGGTGGCGAGTTGAGTGAATCGACTCAGTGAGTTTCTACTTCTCCACATGGCCTCTGATTCCGGAGAACACGGCGGCGAATCGCCTGGAAGAAGTGACGGAGGTGAGCGGTGAAGCTTCTGCCTTTATTAGAGATAGAGGAGACGGAGACCTTGAGACCTTTCTTGATGAATACCGATGTTCACTTTGAGACCTTGTACTTTGAAATTTCTACTTTTATAGTACTCTAACTTTAAAAGTAACTATTTTGGTGCCCAACCATTTCGCAATTTTATCTAGATCAACTTCCGTGAGAAAAGTGTGGAATGATACTCGAATACTCAAATGTGTACTTCTCTATCATTTTCTCTTGTGATCAGATCACGACATAAAAAGAAAATTAAAAAATTATTATCTTTTTATTAGTTGAGATTATATAAATATATTAATGCACGCGTTATTGATGAACAGTAACAGGTATTGGTATTGGCGTTTTCTGATTTTGCGTCTCTTGGCTGGGTTGGAGTTGATTTGTTTGATGGTCATCGTCTGATATTCATTCTATTTGCTTTGTTTTTCCAGGTGTAAAGACACCAACATTGCCCTTCAATCCAAGACCTTCCACCTGTTTCCCACCACCTTCGTTTTTAGATCGTATTTTGCCTTTATAGTCTATTCTTCACATGCGTACCTCATTTGACACCCGTTGAAGCCATCATCTTCCTCTCTTCTATTGATTTTGTTAGACATGTCTAGGATTGTTATCTAATCGGAACTACTTCTCCGAAAATTCTTTGCATTCAATTTCTATCTCACCCTCTCAGCTCTTTGTAAATCGATTGAGTTCCAGATTTCTAAAACTCCAGGTTTGGTAGGTCGTCATCATTGACGATGATGGTGAAGCTGAGGTGCAAGATCTTTACAACTTTCATGTAAGTTTTGTGTACTCACTAAATCATCATATTCTTCCAATTTTCTCTAATAAAAAACATGATTATTGTTGTATTTCATTTCCCGAGTTGCTTGAATACCATGGAAATTTTAAATATTGTAACACCTGTAGATTCGGGCTAGTCAATTAAGATATAATAAACGTTAAAAATGACTTTTTGATAGGAGATTATTATGATAAATAATTTAACCAAAGTTGTAGTATATGTGACAAGGATTTCGTACATATAAAGAAAGCTTAAATTCGACTTCGTATGAAGAAGTTATGCTTCTTCGAAGTTTCGCGATTAAACTAACACGACTCTGTGTATCGTAAAAAGTGAAATTTTTATAAATTACTTGTTAGCCTAAGTAATCTAAACGAAAGTCGTAATAGTGTGCGACACAAAAATCGAAATTAAGATCGGTTGACTGTTAGTCGAAACAATCTAAACAAAAGTTGAAAATATCGTAAATATTAAGTTGTTGATATAAAGACAGTCGAGAACGGAGTTCGTATGAAGGAGTTATGAATTTCGCACGGACTTTAACAGTCTAAACCGGTCTAACTATGAATTTTTTTAGAGCAAAAATTCGATGTTAAGACCTTAACGAAAGTTTTAGATCTCGTTGAAAGTATTTCAGGGATATAAAGAACATCGAAAATGGAGTTTTTATGCGAAAGTTATGGCCGTCTGAAGATCTGCGAGAAACCGTTTGTGTTGTGTTGGTGACGTGACAGCACCGGAGTGCGCCATGTGGCAAGGCCGGCAACTCACTCCTCCAAGAGACACGTTGACGTGCCTCCACAAGATTATAACATGTGGCACCACCATGTAGTAACACGTGGCACGTTCTATAAGGGGGACGGGTGGCTGAATCAGATCGCGACACGTGGCAAACAACCACAGGAGCCAGCAAGACTCAAGGGCATGGCGCGCTCCCCCTAGTAGTATATATACCCCTCCGATTTTGCTTTCATTTCACACCAATTTCACTCCTATTTCTATCTGGAATTATTTTCATGCTGAAGTCTGGCTTTTTTTGAGGTTCCTTAGGATATTTAGCAAGTTCTGAGGGGTCTAGGCGTCCGTCAAATAGAAGCTTTCGATTTCGAAGTTATATCTGCACGTTTTCCTGATTTTCGCTAAAACCTTTGTAAGTTAAGCTACACTCTTTTGCTTTCAGTGTAACTCATATTTATAGTCATAAGTCGTTATTATGAACCTATAAATAAGATTTATCAGTGATTCCAAGTCATTATACTGATTGGTCTACTTACGCGGACAATGTTTAGGTTGTATTTAGTGAGGTGTTTAAAGTGAGATTTCCAAATCATATACTCTCTACACCAAACGGACCACACTACCTCTGATATGATCCTACCTGGTTATTCCTTACTTGATAGATCTTGATGTAGACATTGGAATTAGTGAGGAATCTAGACTATCTTTAGTTGTCATGAATATTAGACTAAGACTTGGTATAAATCATACCTAGGTCGCGTCAAAGGAAAAACTAAAGGTATTGGGTGAAGCTCTGTCGAAATCACCATTTATTCACCTAAGCCATGTGAGTACTTATTTACTTTCAGCTAATACATAGATATCAAGTATTTAATTTGCTTAGATTCCCCATGCACTTATTATTTGCATTCCTGTAACATCCCAAAAATACCAACAAAAATTTTTATTTTTAAACCATTAATTCCATACAAACCATTTGTTCCAAAACCAATCAGAGTGAATTGTATTTTCTAAGTATCAGAGTAAAACAAACATAGTCAGTGCGGAAAAATCCATCAGGGGATGTTGTGTAGTCAAGTCGGGCCCTTCCCTCTGGAACTGGAAGTACCTGAAAATGTTTAAACCACAAACTGTAAGCATAAAACTTAGTGAGTTCCCAAATTAAAATACCACATACCATACATATCATCGAACCCAACCCACATCTTGATCCCAGCCCCACATATCAATGGGCTCATCCCAGCATACAAATGGGCCCAGCCCCAATATATCAGTAGGCCCAGCCTAATATGCCTACCAATGGGCCCAGCCCAACACATAATGTAAGAGTTACAAAGACAGTTAACATCCTACATAGTATAGTGAGAAGACTCATATGTCTTACGAAACCAACTAAACCACATCTCAAGGCCCCGCAAAAAATGCTACAACACTCCTATCAAAACAACCAAGGTCCAACCTTAGTCTACACACTAAAACCAGCAATCTTGACCAAAAGTCAACCCAGGTCAACAAGTCAAAATCAACGGTCTAAAGTCAAACAGCCAAAATCACTTCAGCGAGTTGCCACGTCGTGACCTTCCATTGGCCACGTCGTGGCAGCAAGATGACAAAATAGTCGGGTCTCACTCCAGTCGCCACGTCGTGGCGAACAAAGTGTCACACCGTGGGAACTGGATCTTCAGCAGCTTAATGCATTAAGATGTTCCCACCACACCAAGGGCTCCAAAACAGATCTACTTTTTCCCAAGGTCCTGATGGATTAAGTTTAAGTTTCAAACTTTATCCCTTAGGACATACCCATACACCAATATCTCAAAACTTAGGTCCTATTGGCAACTTAAGGTATGACTCAACCATTAAGCACTTAATCATAAAAGCCATTTTCCCAAAGATTCCAGAAGTGTTTCCTACACCTGATGGACCATTAAAATCGCAGCTTTATGGACATGCATTTCCAATGCATGCCCTTCCCAATTTAGGTCATAATCACGAGAAAATGAGATCAAAGTTTGAATATGAGACCAAAAACTCCAAGGAACCATAAATCTACAACATATAACCCCAAAGGGACCTCAAGGATCCATAAAGTTGCCAACATTATGGAATCCTTCCATCCAAACTTCCACATTTTTGAAGAAATGGGACAAGAAACCTAGATCTAGAAACTTGGAACAATAAGCTTGGATCATGAACACTTACAAGAGTCCATAGAATGCACAAGAGGATGATGATGTTGATGCTTCATTGTTGGATCAACACACTAAACACCTTCTTATACTTTTTCAAGCTACCAAAAACACCAAAATGAGCCAAGAACCACCAAGAGGGTTTAGGGTACGAGTTTATGGGTATGAGGGTGATGGAGGCTGATAAGGGACCCTAGGTTCAGGTTAATGGGGTTTAAATACGAAGGAAACCCTAAAAGATCATGGGCTTGGGCCAGAACAGATGCCACGTCGTGACAATACTACTGCCACATCGTGGTACTCATCAAATGCATGCGTTCTTGATTTGGCTCGTCATGTCGTGGCCACCTTATTGTCATGTCGTGACACATGATTTTTCCCAAAAATCATGCCTTTGACTCCTTGGTGCCCTACATTGGTTATGGATTGAGGAACTTGCATGGGTTTTTGGTTATTTTCTTGCCCTATGACCTAGGTTGGGTTGAGGACATTCATGGAGCATGCATGTCCATAAAGTTGACACTTTTATGAGCCTTTGGAGTCCCTAATAGCTTTCTGGAAAGTTGGAGTTAAAGACTTAATGGATAAAGGGCTCAAATCCTTAAGTGGTTGTCTTAGACTGTGGTCATGACGTGACATTGAGGATGTCACGACGTGACCGAGGAGAATTCCACGATTATATTGTCATGTTATGATCACGATGTAACCAATGAGGGTTCATATCATAATGCTTGCTGAATGGGTTGTTCGTGACCGAGTTGGCTGAGTTGGAGCGAGACGAGGTGAAATTAGGTTGAGTGTGTTCTCACGACGTGACCAAGGGTTGGTCACGACATGAGGTTCAATGGTTTATATCATTGACTGTTGGCTTTGACTTTGACCGTTGACTTGTTGACCTTGGTTGACTTTTGGTCAAGATTGTTGGATTTAGTGTGTAGGCTAAGTTTTCACCTTGCATGTTTTGATAGGTGTAACATCTCAAAAATCAGAATAAAATTTTCATTTTCCAAAATCAACCCAATGACCATATTTTTTTACAAAACATTGTCTCGAAAGTGATAGACAAAAATCATACTATCTCAAAATCCAAATAACATAAAACTCGAAGGATGTGCACGATCACGACTTCGCCTTGCCCCGATCATCTGAAGAATCTGAAAAGCATAACAAACAACTGTAAGCACGAAGCTTAGTGAGTTCCCCAAAGTAACACCACACAAACATACAACCAAACAAATATTGGGTCCATAACCTCCTAGTTCGATTACCCCTGGCTCATAACC